ATATAGATAATGATTTCCAAGGGGAAAAATTTTAGGAAGTGATAGTACACACCCAGACAAACAATTTTTATCAAAGAATGCATGGTCGAAAACAAAACGCAAAGGTGCTGGCGCATTTGGAAAGTTTTTTCATGCAAACGAGAAAGCTCCATTCCTATTGCGAGTTACTGCGCTACGCTATTTGTCGCCAAGCTTTCGGCCGCTGCAGGGAAAGTTCGCCTATCTTTCTTCGCCGTTGTACCAGCATAGCTACTGCCAGTCACTGTTTTGAACACTTATTGTAATCACATGCCATTAAATTTGCTTTTATAACTTAACTTCATCGTTCTTTGTGTTTTTGCCTCATATAAGAACATAAACTTTGACGCCCTCTAGCGGTTTTTGGTTTTGTTTTCGACCATGCATTCTTTAATAAAAATTGCTTGTCTGGGTGTGTACTATCACTTCCTAAAATTTTTCCCATCTTTTTAGAATCACCCTGTATACATTGATAGTAACTTTTAGGACCACATTGTGTACCCCCTAAGAAGCCTATGAGTATTTCCCCTGGTGGGGTACACTAGTGCCCGGTAATATAATACGTGGTCCAATTTGAATGTTAAGGATCAACTTCTAAAAAAAAATTCATGAAATAATTACGTTGCAAGTTTTTGCTTTCTTTGAGATCTAGCTTTTAAAATTTAAGTAGAAAAAGAAATCAAAATAATAAGCTGCTTTTGCATTATATCAATCCTTAAAATGTTTTTGAAATTCAGACTGCTAAGCACATGTGTTATGTTCATGCATGTACGTTACCCGCATGTTTCCTACATAGAAAACTGTTTTTATTAATGTTAGCCAATCGAAAAAAAATATTCTCGAATATATATTTATTCTCTGCCATTCTTTAAAGCGGCAGATAGATAAGTCAGTATAGAAGTCTCTAAGGAGGGTAAAATCAACCAGAATAATTCTCTTCTTTTTCTCTTTTAGAAGGAGAGAGTGGTGATGTTTGGATTTAGGCGTTCGCAGTTAAGGCAGTAGAAAAACATTGTTTAATTTCAGGTGTTGGGGGAAGGTCTCGCTTAGTTTTCTCCTTTTGAGGCCATGATTTAATATTTCTTGATACAACCTAGTTCGGTTTTAAAATTAATTCTAAAACATAAGTTATACGTCGGGTAGTATGGTTAATGTCAATTTTCTTTTTCAAATTCCCCTGATCATTTTTTATCAACCGGTATTCTTCACACTAATGTTCTTTAAAGATTAAATGTCATTGCCTGTTATTCCATTATTGTTTTTTTTTTAATTAAGGGACATTTTTTGGTATACAGTTGCTCGGTATTTCTTACACTGGTGTTTTCACAAAAAAAAATTTATTCAGGTATTTTTATACCGAATAATAAACCTTTTAAATTTATTATAGTCAAATATGTCCGTTAAAGTGAAGATGATGTGTTTTGTAAAATTACAGATTTAATAAATTAAGAATTTAGTCAAACATGATAACCGACACTGCGTTTTTTCGCTCCTGTACTATTTTGCAAATGCTTTTCGCAACTCTTTATCTACGTTAGATAAAGGGGCTCAATTTAAGACTAAAGTATCATAAAGTATACCTACTGGCTGTGTTAAAGTTGTAGTTGCAATTGAATGCTAAATAAACTGACAATTTTTTATTTCTTGCAAGGAAGTTAGATTTAGAATTTTTTTTCTTCAAATTAACTGAAAATAGACTTTTGTTTCTCGATTTAAAGAGATTAATCAGCTAAACAATAATTTACGCAGCTGTGGCACAGTTGCGTGTCCTTTGGTAAATGAAGAATCAAAACGGAAAGTAATAACACGATTTTTACTTGAAATTAAAAAAAAAACTACGATTCTAGGAAAACCGTGTCAAGTGTAGTGACCATACATGGCAGTACTTTTACTTTCGTTACTTGTAACGCCGGTGCTAGTAAAAAGTACGTACTTTTATTTGTACTTCGTTACTTTTTAAATTTAGTACTTTAACTTGTACTTTCGTTACTTTTTTAGAGAAAAAGTACAAGTATTTGTAACGGAAATATCGAACGAAATCGTTACTTTTTTTCTAAAACTCGGTAAGCTTTCTAAAAAAAAAAATTTAAATTGAAAAAAAATGCTTATGTTTTTTTTTTAATTAATAAAATTAATGTGCAATATACATGCATTCACAGCTAACTTCGTGTTTAAATACCTTCTGTTTCAACTTATACTGCACATTCAATTATTTTTTACTAGCTCAAAGATCACAAAGCTATCTGAAACCCTGTGTTTGCTTTGTTTACGTTTGTGCTTTTGAAACGCGTCTCTAAAGAGTAAAACAATCTTAAATCAATGGTAATTTAAATAAATAAAAATAATAAACTAAAAATTAAAATCAATAGATAAAATTTCTTTTTCGTGCAAATCCATAAAAAGTTTGAAATTAAAACTATATTTGATTTTAAAATTATATTATACGATTATATTATAAAATTATATTATAATATTCTTTCGAATTTAAAAATAAATTTAAATCCATAACTTTCAAAATTAAAAATAATTAAATAAATGACAACAATTTGGCAAAAACTTTAAAGAGCATAAGAATATTATTCAATAAAATTTTAGGTTACTTTGAATTTTCGATTTCCTAGAAATGTACTTTTAAATCGTTACTTTTTTTGCTTAGTACTTGTACTTTTACTTGTACTTTTTACTCGTTACTTTTTAAAATATGAACTTTTTACTTTTTACTCGTTACTTTTTTTAAAAATACTTGTACTTTTACTCGTTACTTTTTAAAAGTAACGTTGCCATATATGGTAGTGACCGACTCTGTAATTTGTCGCCTTTGGACCGACTTGATGCCGCTTTTCGCTTCTCTCTAACTACGTTAGATACAGGAACTCTATTTTAGATTAATGAATATTAGAATCCACCAACAATAATGTTACTTACAATGTTAACCTGATTTTCTTGTGAGTATCCTCCTTGTCTTCTCATGGGAGAGTGACTCACGCCAAGGTCATTCTGATCTTCTGTCGGGGACATCCACTTTGGTTCAGTGGGTGTTTCTGGAGTCATAAAGTTTGTCTCCCAAACAGCTGGCCTCGGGGAGGAAGGAGTTTGTCCCCGTTGCTCCAGCTCCAGTAGTTGATCGGCCGAAGTGCGACTAGGACTAGACATACCTTCTGTGTTCAAACTGTATGAAGATCGTGGAGTCGGTATCAAGTAATCTTCTGATCCCGGTGATAAAAGTAGGCCTGGATCTGGTCGTGGAGCCTGCACCTGGTTAAAAAAAATGTATGAGAGTTATAATTCCTGTTTTAACATAAATATATAGGGTGTTCTTTATTATTATAATAGAGACTTAGTGTTAAATGTTTGGAAGAAAAATACAGACGTGTGTTTAAATTTCGCTATTATATCATAAACGAGTAACGAGTAAAACGAGTAAAAGTAACTAAAATATTTTACACCAAACAAACGTAGGAATTTAAAATTAATGGATTTATGCTTAAACGTGCATTAGACATTTAAGGAGTGGCCAGATGAAAAGTGTTCAGCCGTGTTTGCTTTAGAAATACGGTAGCAATATCAGCACTACCTTTCAGGGCTATAAATTAAGGTAAGAGCCCCAAATTAACAGGTTCATATGAGAGCATTCAAAGTGAATGCAATGTTGTGCTATGATGGATGCAGTTTAAACGGAACAAAGTGTTGTATTATAATGTTTAGTGATGGAAAAGGAGCGTAATGCATCTCCTATTATTTTGGTTCATGACATTCTCTTGTCATAAACCAAAATAATCGCAATAACATTGCAAATTAACCAGTTCGTATGAGAGCATTCGAAGTGAATGCAATGTTGTGCTATCATAGATGCAGTTTGAACAGTGTATTATAATGTTTAGTGATAGTAGAGGAGTGTAATGCATCTCGAATTATTATGGTTTGTGACGAAGACTACTAACAAAAAGGCGTGCATCAAAATGATATCTTCCATGATTTAACGAAAGCAAATACCATTATCTCCTAATAATTTATTGCTTTGATTGAGGAATTAGAAATTGAAGATGTACGACTCGCGGTATCAGACAGTCTGACTTAGTCTGACGTGACTAAAGGAATACAACCATACCGTTTACTACTAAACATTTATTTCGCATTGTTTTGTTTTCTAATTATCCATCTGATCTTGCTGCTATAATTACTGCATTTTTGACGCTGTCACATTTGTATGGGAGAGTGGGGGGGGGAGATCGGGTTACCTCTAATGTGTCGAAATTATTTATTATGTTTTCCAGCAGGCAAACTCTGAATTGCACTTGCACTGAAAACTTACACGCATAATATTCTTAAATTACCATCTAAGAAAATATCTGCTACTTTTTCAATCGAAATTCTTTCATTTCTAAGTTTTTCATAGAGTAGTAAGTTTTTCATTGATTAGTTTTTTTTAGAAATTTTTTTTAAAGTAGTGGTACACCTTCTAGTACTAGTAAAAGTAGTACTTTTCAGAAATGATATATTGTGCTCAACTGAACGCTATCTAATCATCCATTAAATCTGAAAAATTCTAGGTCAAACAATTTAGCTTTAAGAGGGGCTTCGAATCTTAATTACCCGACTTAATTATAGCTCACTGAGGATATTTTACGTCAGCTCTACTGTCTTTGTGAGACGGGAACAAAATTCAAATCAACCAGCCAATGCTGAAATTCGAACCTAGTTAGCCTCATTGAGAGGCGAACACTCTATCCCGCTGGGCAATCGCTGCTCGTTTCTACCCATTGGAAGCGGTATTTTCAGTTACCTATCGGAAATAGAAGGGGCTATTTTGCGTAATTTAATAATTTGGTAAAAAAATTCGTTAAACACAATAAGCCGTTCGCCAAATAATTTAATTACAACAAAGCAGCTAGTTATGGACCCATTCGAATGCTGTTTTCAACTATAATTTCTAAAAAACGAAAAATTTAATTAAAATTCGAATAATTTGGATAAATAAAAGAATTATTCAAATGCGCTATAACATCCAGCTCATTACAGGAAGACGCCCCTAGTGGCGTACGATGTCATTTTCTGACATGGGCTTTTTGCAATTTTCAATCGATACGATTCACCCTAAATCTTCCATAGTGTTTGTGAATGCTGTACTGAATCAGTTAATGAATAGTAAAATACCGGCAACTTTAAAACACAAATCGAATTTTGGAGGAAATCCCACAATAATATATATGTTCTATAAGTGAGTCCTTCTAAAAACGAAGAACTTGCAATTCCCGTCAGCACGATTGATTTGAATATAATTAGTATTCAATGAATATTGTAATTTGTAACAAGCAATATTGAACCTTTTTTATAAAATTATGAATATTTTTGTTGCTTTTGGTAAAAAATTTAATTCAGTTCTAATTATATGATCTAAATTCCAAAAAAAAAGATATCGATTCATAATCTAAAACTGCATTATCCATTAGAAACTGTTTATAAATTACATGTCCTGTTAGTCGTTCCCATTTTAAACGTGATTTTTTTCAAATTCTATACTTCAAAGAATTTACAGGAAAAATTTATACGGATGCCTCTTGAAATCAAGGGACTTATTAACGCTCTTTAAAAGAATATTTCTTTTAAGGTGCTTACGTGCAAACAGCTGTCGTTTCCATCTTCCACGGGACGCATAACTGTCGTATCTCTCTCCATAGATGGTGCCCGCTTGAAGATGGGTAAAACCGCGTTGATGACGTCAGGATCCTATAAAAAATATCATAAATAAGTAAATATCATATCATCCAAAAGCAGATCAGCTTTTCCCCGTGAAATAAACTTTTGGTATTGGGCGATTATTATGAATTTGAACAAAAATATTTGTTTGATATTTTGTTTCCACTTTTCACTATCTCCTCTCCTGAGCTTCTGCCATGGAACTTAAGTCGTTTTCCTCTAATAGTTTAAAATTATAATTAAAATTTTGTATGAAAGCCCCTTTCATATTTACTCTTTCCCAGCTGATATTTTTTTAAAATTTTCTTTCGTCTTGGAATGAACAATATGTCATTATGCAGTGGCACCCTAGTGTGCATTCCTCCTTTTTTTTTAATCCCGAAAGTGCAACAAACTTAGTTTATAACACCATTTATCGGATTACATCAAATAAGAAATATTGTTTAAATTTGTTATGGGACAGCCATTCTGGCTTTTGAACAAATGAACTCAATAGTCAACCTGTTTCTGTAGTAATGACTGCTGATAGGTTTCCCTGTATTTAGATTATTTTAATATTTACATTGGACTTTTATCGATGCACAAGTCTTTTTTGACAAAAACTAAGAGAGCTTATGTAAATGTAAGACGCAGTTGATTTAAAAAAATTATTAAATGGGTTTAGCAGTTACTAAGAATTCTGCTGAAATGTACCGCTTTTTTTACTTCGTCAGAAATTTTAGCTCCAAAGATTTTCAAAAAATAAAGCATTTTAGCAACTGAGTATGTTTATTTTGGAAAGAAAAATGACTTTGGATTATTGCTTGGATAAGTGTTTTTCTTATAGCTCTCTTATGTTTTTTTCTTACTATAAAATAAAGCCTTTTTCTTCATACTATTTCTTCAAGCGAAATGTAAAAAAGTACTATAGTTTAGCACTAAAAAAAGCAAAAAGTCGGAGATGTGACCAGGGCTGTGCTCCATGACTTCGGTCCCATTTGACTTGTTCTTTTCTGCACTTGTCAAACGACAACAACAGCAACAAAAAGCATATAAAAATTTTTTTTTCTTAATTTTTTGACTAAACTAAACTTTTATAGGTTAGCATTAGCATTCTTAGAAAAAGGAGCTGCTGAAAAAAAAATACTTTAACTTAAAAAAGCTTTAAAAATAAATAAAGAAAGAACATGTAGTAAATGTTGACAAATGAGTTTAAAGCCAAGAATTTCACCAAGTACCTGATGTACTTAAAAAATACTAAAAAGCCTCCAAAGAATTTTTATAGAAAACACTTCGATCCTTTATCCTTACAAGAATTTCGAAAAGCCAGAAAACCTATAAGATTGAAACCGAAGATGAATCTAAAACATCAAAGTTATGCATCAATGATTCGAAATGATATGCCCAATAGAAAAGACATGCTCAGATATAAAGAAAAAGATATCTCTCACAGCAGCATGATTGAAAGCAAGAGATTTTATTCAACTGATACACCCATTTATGGAATTGCAGATGGAAGGTTTCATTCCATTGATTCAACTAACTATGGAATTTCAAATATAAAATCTGATTTTAAGGATTCTCTTGACTATGAAATTTCAAATAGGAAATTTGATTCTACCAATTCACCTCAGTATGAAACTTCAAATAGAAGATTTCATTCCATTGATTTATCTGGCTTTGGAATATCAAATAAGAGATCTGATTCATCTGACAAAGAAATTTCAAACAGAGGATCTGATTCCACTGATCCGCGTGTTTATGAAATTTTAAATAGAAGATCTGGTTCGACAGGTTTAACTGACATTAGAATATCAGATAGGAAGCATTCGTCTCATTACGAAATTCAAGATGGAGGATCTAATTCCTCATCTGACTATGAAATTTCGTATTATATATACGCCATTCCCGTTGTAGTTTTGTTAATTTTAGGACCAATAGTTTTCTTGCTATATCGGCGCTTTATTTCTGAAAGGAAAAGTAGTAAGAAACTGCAAAAGATGCGAACCAAAAAGACGAAATCTAAAAAAGCTAAAAGGCAACACAAAGTAGTACTCCACAGCTTGGACTATAATGAGTATGACGGAGATACGGAGGAGGCTGATCTGTTATTAAAGGAGACTAAAGATAGGCCCCTAATACAACAGCTAACAATTGGAAATAATTCCTCAACCAGCTCTACGTCCTCCAGCTTTACCGTTAATGAGAATCGTAGAGACTCAAATGATAAAAAATTGTTGGCTAAACCAAGTAATATGGATGTCTATCACTTGGCAATGACAGAACCGTCATCATTTTCATCTGATGAGAGTTACAAGTCCTTAAATGACCACGATGGACTGTCACTTTCTTCCTCCGATGAGAGTTACAGTTCGGCGAAAGACAATGATTAACGGCCGCCAGTGAAAGACGGTGATTATATTCACCAAAAGTCATTAATGATGGAGGACAGACTTTCTCTGTTTGCTTTTTTAGTTGATGCCACGGCATCTCAAACTCGTGCTGCATGAATCATACGCATGTGTTATCGACGATCCAATGAGTGCTGCATCGATCAAAATTGAGATTGTCAAAAATTCAAACACAAACCTATACGAAACGGAGAAGAAAATCGTGACAGATAAAAAAAAATATGAGTTTTGAAAAATTCCAATTGGCGGTAAACCAATTCACGGCAAACAATTCTGCACCTGCCCCTGATGTGAAAGAGTTAGTGAAGATACAAAGCAGATAAAACTTTATCTTGGAAAAGAAGTTATTATCCATAAGTTATTGACGAATCAGTAATTAAATAGCAAGCTTTTAGTTACTATACGGGTTCGAAAAAAGTTTGAAAACTATAAAATATTTTGAGAAATATGTTTGGATCGAAAAACGGACATAAGATGCATGAAATATTTTATGAAAAGCTACCCCATAATACCAAACATGATCTTCCACCCCACCACTTGAAAGAGGAAAAGCGGGGACTTTGAAACCTCAAATATGAACCACAATTTTTTATTGCGGATTCGGAATCTCCAGAAAAAGTAACCCTATTTGACTTTCAGGTTTATGCATTTTGCTATACAGTCGGCGCTGTAACCGAGAATAAATAGGGTACAAACTATTTAAAGTGGTAAATTTCGAGATCCATCAAATTGAAAACAAAATGTTTCACGTTTTTTAAATTGATTTTTAATTTTTTTTTTTGAAAAAAAATTTCCGAAATACCTTTATTTTTTTATTATTTTTGCTACAATAAAAAATAAGGGTTTATGTTTAACATTTAAAAATTGCCCCTAACCAGCCCTCTAAGAGTGGAACATCTAGCTCATCTTTGGATAGCTCTTAAAAAGTATTCAATGCGTCCATTTTCGCTTTTTCGATTAGATGTAGATTTCTTGACTGTTTCTAAACTATTCTTAACCTTTCTATCCTGATTCAAACTCTATTATTAAATCATTAACTGAATCTGAAGTCTATGGAAAAATTCTTATTACTGTAGGCTGTTTCTAAATCATATAGGGGCAGCAATTTAGATTCTGAAAGAGCGTGCTGTGCTGCTGCAGTTTATAAATGTGTTATTGTGCGTAAATTGCAAATAATCTTCTGTACAACGGCCAGACAAACATACTCTAAATGATGTAGATTATGGAGGTAAAGATTTTATCAGAAAAAAAATACCCTCCTAGGCCTGGTTTCTTAGGACAGGACGCCGTCAGCTGGAAATCAGCGCTAGCCTCTGATTTGTTCATTTGTGAGTTTGATAGTATGCGTTCGATGACGTATACTATCAAACTCACAAATGGACAAATCAGAGGCTAGCGCTGATTTCCAGCTGACGGCGTCCTGTCCTATGAAACCAGGCCTTTAGCTTTAGCTCAAACCGCTTTAAACAGAAACTATCAAAGAAATTAGTGACTATGCAGGATTAATGTATTACTTTTATGTTTTTATTAGAGTATATTGCGTAATTATTAGTGCTATGATCTTAGTTTTTTTCCATTTATAGATTAAGAACTCAAAACTGAATGAAATTTTCGCTTTCACAATAAATTATTAAAATGTTGAAAATTTCAGTAAACGTGCTAATATATATTTATTTCTCTGTATTTTTAAGATCACAAGATGGTACTTATGAACTAGTATTCAAGTGGTATTCCTATTAGAGTTATTAAGAAGACTCAGCATTAAGGAGGGTTGCATAAGAGTAAAATAAAGATTTTGAGTGAAATTAATCAACTTTGTAGCGTAAGGAAACTGATCATAACGTAACTATAGACAAATTACTTTTGGGGAAACTATAATTAAATACACAGGTTTTACACACGGTTTAGCAAAAAGTTAGTTTTGCTTAATATAGATATTACTTCCTGTTCGTATCGATTACTATGCTGACATAAGAAACTTCCATTCGAAGATAATATACAAGCATTTGTGGGTAAGTTTCGTATATTTCGTCAACGTGCTAAGCAAATGAGCATTAGTTTTACTCAAATCTTATCCGTAAGACAACTTAATCATAATATTTGGCTAACACTTTTCTTTTTAATTTTTGAGTTAAATTCTAAGCTAAAAAGTTATGGCGTTCAATATCAGCTATGCATCTGCATATGCCATAAGATAGACTATCATACATTGCGTCTATAATATAAGATACAGTAGGATCCCGATTATCCAACATCGGTGGGACCAGAGTTGTGTCGAAAAATTGAAATCGCCGGAATAAGCCTTTTCAAGTTTATTTATGAACAATTAAAATTATAACTAGGAGCAAAATCACTCTAAGTAATTGGTAGCAGTCGCAATAATAAAAAAACTTCACTTTCGTACTTTTCTTTGGTTAATAACGGTGCAAAATCGTGGATAAATATTTCGTCTGTTAAATTTCTAGCTGTCCGATTTCAAAATCCTCCTTACAGCAGCAGTTTTATTAAACTGGATTGAATTTGGGATTAATTGGTAGCAGGTTCAAACATAGAACAGCAATCGGGGCAGGATAAGGTTTAGTAGTATAATGAAACCTGTGTCGCCAAGCTTTTAGGTATTTCGGATAACAGAAAGGTTGAATAATGGGAGTTCTGCGGTATTCAACTCCGAAGATGATATAAAACTAAAAAATGAAGCAAAACATTGTTGGAGACGTTACCTGCAAACAATATCCGAGCCTTTCAATAATGGTTGAGAAATTTGGTCGCTGATCAGGATGTGGGTGCCAACACTGCATCATTATGTGATATCTGTTAAAAAAAACTACTATTAAAATAACACATCATAATAGTACACCTTCGAGTAGTACTTAATTCGAGTGATTAAGTGATTTTGCTGTAATTATTACCGTTAAAATTATTGTAATCATTACTGTAAAATTTACTGTAAATATTTATGTAAAAATTACAGTATGCCAACATATCAGATTTTTTGTTCCGTAACAGGTTTGGTAAAATTGGAGTTTTTGGTAAAAATTACCGTTGGCAAGAGTGCCGGTACTTTCGTTAGTAATTTGAAACGAAAATTGTTATAGTTCAGTATTTGGAAATCAAGTAGTTTTCCGTCCTTAGTACTTTTAGTTGTAACATTGAAATGCAAAATGAAACACTGTTACATTTTCCAGAATTAAACAGTTTTCTAGAATAACAAAAGTATCTGGATGAGTGCCAAGAATTAAATTTTCAAGCGATTAAGTTCTTCCGTATTGAGAAAAATAAGGCTTTGGCATCAAAATATAATCAGATTAATAACAAAAGGGGTCATTCACAAGTTAAAAAAATTACAATAAAAAAAAAGTAAAAACGGTATCGAAAATTTAGTTTTTTCCAAAAGAATCTTCATAATCGTAAGCTTTACGGAATCGTAAGTAATTACTACGAAAGTCGTTATCACTTAATTACTTCGTTTTTCAATAATTTTGTTTTTCATTTCTGCATTATATTTGAATAAATCATGAAAGAACTATAATATCATGATAAGGATTTGTAAATGAATAATAAAAACGAGTTTTTATGCATCACTTCCTTGCCAAACTCGCCAATTTATCTTAGTGTAAAAAGCGTCATTTAAAAAATATTCGTTTTATTACTTTTTTAATTTATTTANGCTAGTGAATAATAAAAACGAGTTTTTATGCATCACTTCCTTGCCAAACTCGCCAATTTATCTCAGAGTAAAAAGCGTCATTTAAAAAATATTCGTTTTATTACTTTTTAAATTTATTTATCGATTATGCGAAGTTAGTTTTTAACTGTTTTAAAATGAAATATTATCATGATTAGTATATTACCTACGCATTTCTTTTTTTCTTCTTTTCTGAGAAACTTCTAGACATTATATCTTTTAAAGAACCCAAATGAGTCGTTAAAATTTTGAAATATGAACTCTATAGGGAGAATCACTCTTCGTTATCTTTCTGAAAACTTTATTTCTTTCACTAAATCGATAAAAATATTTTCACAAGTTTATCTTGGATTTTCTCCTCGAGGACTGAAGAAAAATCTTTTTTCATTCCTTTAAAAATAAACTCTTTTGAAAATAGGGATGAATATAAGTTTTCAAACATGCTTTGCAATTTGAAAATAGCTTGTTTTAATTCAAGATTAAAATTTGTAAAACACAGAGATCAGTTTCTAAGAATTAAAAAAAAATCGGTATCTTTTCTTATTAATTAATAATGAGGAATTCTACGTTGAACTTCGAGGACGGGATAGCCTGGCTGGTAGGACGTTGGGCTGGTGTTCGTGAGAACGTGAGTTTGAATCCTGCCGGCCGAGGAATCGTTGTGTATTAAATGATGGTTAGTCCTCGTTAAATCGGTTGGGGTCACAAAGTTCTCCATGTTTCCACAACAAATTGATACTTTTGGTGGTAATAAATTCGGTAATAAATTGGTAAATGGTCAGGACCCCTTTTGTTCAGGTCACAATGTATGAATGGATGGAGTATGATTGGGTCCTCCCCATAAAATGGGCTGTGATATATGTGTGGCTAAAGTCGTAATATTGCTCATGGATGGCGGCTCTGAAAAACAAGAAACGCACCCTCTGCTTTAAAAATTTGCTTAATGTCAAGCAGGGTTGTAAGTAGTGGCAAGTCGCATGAGTAACAACAACAACGTTAAACTGCATTTTATTGGAAGAAATTATAAATGTGCAAGATATGCATTTTAACCTTGCCTGCAAAAATAAATAAGTAAATAAGCATACAATGGTCAATAATTTAATACGAATGTAAATTACTTGTTTTACTATATTTTTAAAAATAATCCAGTTGTTAACTTAACGTTTAGCTTTGAACAATTAACCATATCCTAAAGGTCTGGTTTCTTAGGACAGGTCGGCGTTACACAACGTCAGCTGGAAATCAGCGCTAGCACCTGATTGGTCAGTTTGTGAGCTATACAGCATACGTCATCGTACGCTCAGCTTGAACAACGACTGACGTCCGAATCAACTGCTGTTGGATTACAACGTAGCGTTAACGACGAAAGCAATGGCTGACAAAATCCAACAGAGCATTGAAATCAGCCCAGATTTCGATTTTAACATTACACATTGTTTCTTCTTCATTTAGCTATGCTATAATGTGTTTTTTCTTGGGCAAAGTCATTATTTGTTCTCTAGATCACCAGTCGACGATAACAAAATCAATACAAATTCAAAATAAATATTTGTTTACGTTATTAACGCATGCGCAATGTGAGATAATGTGTGCGTTGGACCGACTGCTGACGCTGAGCTAACTAGGGCATGGTTTGTTGGGACAGGTTGGCGTCAGCGGTACGTCAACATCCCTCTGAAGCCCAGATAAGGCGCTTGTCTTAAGAAACCAGGCCTTCAGGTGATTAATAAAAAAATGAGATTTATTAAAAATGAAGATAAAATTTATCCATAATTTATTAAAAGGATGTATTAAAAAATACGTTTAGCTAAATCAGGCCTATGAGATGTTAAAAAAGAAATAGAATTTTTTTCTTTTCCAATTTATGAGTTGGTGATGATTTTTAAATAAGGTTAAATAATTATAAAACAATCAATTTTTACAACCATCAAAACGCAGTCAAATTTTATTGGTTTTTAAGCAACGCGAAATGTATGAAATCGTTTGAAAAATAAACTTGCATCAATTGGGTTGTTCTTAAATAGTAAGATTTCAAACTAAAAACATGTTTAGAAACTCTTGATGTTTCTATGCATTCTACAAGTAATTTTCTTAAATTTACTGAGTTAAGGTAAGCATGTTTTTCGGTTGACTGATTTTTTTGGAGTCGAAAGAGTTTCTTTTGAAGTCATTCTTCGCGAAAGTCTTTGACGTTTAGAGAATAATTTCAGCGTAAAAGAAACTTTGAAAATAATTCTAAACTACTCTGAAAAAATAAATGCAATATTAAAAAAAAAAGACTAAAAATATTTAATAAAATTTAAGTCTAGACCAAAACTATTATTTTTTGATAATAAATCCTTTTTCAACGATAAATTATGCTGACATTTAAAGACTTAATAAAAACATTTACATTTGACATTTATTTCTTGCAAGAATAAAGGAAAACAATAGCTCAAAAATTTAATAACTTCTTATTCTCTAATTAAATTGTATTTCCTTAGAAAATTTAATGCCATAATTTTTTTTAAAAAAAACGTACATTACAAATTTTTATTTAACTAGGTGTTTTTTGCAAATAGAAACTGAGACAAATCAATATATTTGTTAAATTAAATTTCTTTTATAACACAAAACTAATTACAAAGAACTTTTGTAGTTTTACACACTAAATAATTTCATCAAATTTCTATTATTAAAATAATTAAAATTTATAATTTATTTTCAAAGCCAAACTTTTTTTTATCACTGACTGATTTTTCATTTAAATCTTGAAATAAAGACAGCCAACATAATCATTCTGAACAAATAATTTTAATGAAAAAACTTTTATTCAATCTAACTTTTTATAAAGCTTTTATATTATAGTGAAATTAATTTGGACTAAAATACTTTATTAGACTAATGATAGTTCAAAAAACTAATTAGTTTTTTTTGACTAGCTAGTTCTTTAAACTAAAGGAAAATAATTTATTGAAAAGCCTGAATTTAATTTCAGATAGTGTTTTTTTTCTTTTGAGGGGAAAAAGCCTCAACAGTTCTAAGAATCACAATTGATTTTGCAAGATTTGTTTACTTTGAACACAATGAAGCTTTTGTTGCGAATACGTAGCAATATTCACTACATAGACTATAATACAGGCTATTGTAATGAAAATGGTAAATTTAAATTACGATGTGTAACTAGAATTTTAATTCAATAAATAGATTTAAAAAGTAGATAATGAAATCTACGATGCTATAATTTAAGTAAGTATATAATTGAATAATAATTTAATAAGTATATGATTAAATAATAATTTAATAACTACATGGCAAAATAAACAATATTGTAACATAATCACGGGCAGTTTTAATAAGTAGACGATTAAACGCAACTTTGGTGATAGCGTAGGGGCCAAATTCTAAATTTTAAATAAGAACTACCATTTCTTATTGCTGATTTATATTCTACATAAAACTAATCCAATGTGACAAACGAAATTTCTTATATTGATTCAATAAAGGTGATGTAATCGAAAAAGTTCAAATTAAATAGTTGTTGATGTTTTGAAAATACATATCCAATCTTAGACCCATATCTGATCCCGATATCCCATCCTTAAATGGCGGTGAAATTTAACGAATTTTACATTTGACATCGGTATTCAGAGATTTTTTTTTATCGGATCTGAATTTTTTTGAGATATTTAATCATTCCCATAATCTTCGGACATTCTCTATACATTAATTAAAAATTAATTACAAGAAATTGGCAATGATTTCCTTTTTTTTCAAGGATCTATTTTCGAAACTTATTTGCTAAAACTGTAAGTTAAATTGAATTTTCATTCATTTAATTACATTAAATTTTTATTCATGAAGTTACATTTCTGAACTTGGTTTCTGAAGCTTGGACAATGACAGAACTGGAGGAAAATTGTATCGCAATATTTGAGAGAAAGATTTTGAGGTGTAAATGAATTGATTTTGATAAATGATTTTGAGGTGTAAAGGAAAACAATAACTGAAGAAGGAGACTTAACTTTGAACTGTACTAGATTCATGAACAACCTGATATTATTAAATACACAAAAATAAATAGAATGAATTGGATCGCCCACGTGATTCGAATGAGTCACGACAACACAATAAAAAAGATACTGCTTTTTAGACCCACTGGAAAAAGAAAGCGGGGAAGGCCGCGGTTGAGATGGGCTGATTCAGTAGAGTTTGATTTTCTCGCAATTAATGAAAAGAATTGGGGGAAAAAGATAAATCGGAAGCCGTCATGGAGAAATCTTCAGAGGCAGGCATTGGCTCACATTGGGCTGTCTGGCCAATTATGATAATGAAGTTACATTTAATTTTGATTCATTTTAAATAAAAGACTAATTTATATTCTGATATTTGTTGAAAAAATAGTGATTTTAAGCGTTACTTACATTGGTGCAGGGCAGTTAGTGGGAGGCTCTAAACGGCCGCCAGAAGTCACTAGCTGCATGACTTCTTGATTTCCTCTTCCAGGATATGGCATGTATCCTAAGGATATAACTTCCCAAAGGAGTACTCCAAAAGACCTAAAAACATTTTGAATATTTATCAGGTAAATATTGTACATAAAATCCCCGTTTTATTTTTGTTATTTTTTCGTATTCTGATAATCGGATATGAGCATTATACTACATCATAGTAGTTAAGAAACACCCTGCGTGTACTGAAATAAATTTCCTGGAGCAACTAAATCGACATTAATTTACCTTGAACTAATATGTACTGGGCATGTACTCTTTGTAAGGCAAAAACAAGATTTAAAAAAAAAAAAAAAAACAGTGAGTTCAAATTATATCGCGTTGACTATATTAAACAAATCTTACACCTGGCAAAGTTAATCAACAACAACAAATGACTGTATAATGATTCTTACCATACATCGGTCTTCGATGTGAATACTCCATCTAAAAATGCTTCAGGTGGCATCCATTTTACAGGTAGAACGGCTTTTCCGCCTTTCCTGTAGTAATCAGCTCTGAAAAATAATCACATACGTTTATACACTTACAAAATTTGTTAATAAATCATGCGTGGAATAATAAACAAGTATCAAGATGTCATTTCAGATTAAGTGCAATTTTTCAGATACAAGTACTAAGATGTAGAGCGATTTTCAGATGGAAGTACTAAGATGTAGTGCAATTTTAAGATTAAGTGTGATTTTTCATATACAAGTACTAAGATGTAGTGTGATTTTCAGATATAAGTACTAAGATGTAGTGCGATTTTTCAGATGTAAGAGGCACGATGTCTTGCATTTTTCAGATACAAGTACTAAGATACAGGGCGATTTTTTTAAAAATGGAACTTATCAAACCCTGTCAATCAAAGGAATTTTAAGATAATTCTTAAAACGTTCAACATTAACATATATAGAATTAATATGTGGTCAGTTGATGCAAACTTTCAATAAGAAATAACAACAGATAATTCAGAATCAACGTAGTAAAGCTTTTTTCTATGCTTTTGACTTCTTTCTGATTAATTTATATCTTTTATGAACATTGATCTCCTATTATTTGGTACGCAATCAACACTGAAATACGGTTATAGATATAGTCGATATAGAATGCAGTTCTATCGAATATAGTCGACTGAAAGTTAAACATTGTTGAACGTTTAAGTCTCATTGTTGAGTTTTACCCGATAAAAAAAATTAAAAAAAAAAAGTTAGAATCATTTGAAGAAAGCATTGAAACCAAACAAAACATGAAAAATATACTTAGGGGCCGAAATATAAAAAACTTAACATTCTGTAATAATTATATAAAAAGTATTTTTAAGTGCAAAAAATGACTTACCTATAGATGTCTCGTGCCATACCGAAATCAGCGATTTTAACCACTCTGTTCGCGTCTTTTGTCGTTAGAAGACAGTTTCTCGCAGCAATGTCTCTACAAAATTAAAAAAGAGAATTCATTGCACTATTTATCAACTCACGGATGATACAATAAATTTTAAACTACACATATTACCAAGATTTCATACCTTACTACTCATACAGTATAAAACTGACTACTCTATTATATTGATAAACCTTCGGTTAAGGCTGTTTTTGAAAGAAAAAAAACCTTTTAGAATCTTCCTGATGTTTCTATACATTTGAAAATTAATTTTTTTTTAAAATTTGTTAAAATGTCACTTCTATCGACACATACTTTAATTACTTATTGCTATCCTTATACAGTAAAAAAATGTTAAATTTACAGAAAAAAACTGTCAGCTCGTGTACCAGTATGAAACAGTTAATTTCGAAAAAAAATACTGTTCCTTAAAATTGGCATGAGTTTTTGGGCGGATAAGTACTGTTATTGTAACAAACAAATTCTATTAGTTTAACAAAAAAATTGCCTTTTTTAACAACAAAAAAACTCAATAAAATAACTATGTCAGCATTATGGTCGGTGCGAGTCGAAAGCAGAATTCACATGTTTAGTCAACGCTGGGATTCGGATCCAGGGCATCTCCTTGGGAGGCCAGCACTCTGTCTCATGAACCATAGTAGCTCTTCTGACGTGGAAATATCTTAAAATGTCCTTATCTTAAAAGTCTTACTAAGTGTAAAAGCGTTTAAAGCTGTATTGGCTAACTCTTATAAGAATGTCTGGCAATTTAACGTACCGAAAATCTACAAATCTGAAAAGTAAGAGCAAGTATAGAAAATAATCGTAAAATGATTTGAGAAAAGATAAAAGTTATCTTACGGTAAGCAAAACAGACTAGAATAGGAATCGACAGTCTTAATGAGGGTGACCATGTAATGAGTTTATAATGAGGAAGAAAAACAGAGAAAAAAATCTTTGTGAAAAACAACTTTAAACCGACAAATTTATGGGAAAGGACTGTAAAAAAAAAAAAAAAAAAAAAAAAAAAAAAAAAAAAAAAAAAAACGGATATTCTTGCAGCTCTCGTGCAACGATTAAATTTTTCATCAAAAAATATTTTTCATCAACGAAATGAAAATTCCACAGTTTAAGTGCTTTTAACTAGAAGGAAAGTTTTAGTTCCAACCTAAATGCACTAACGAGCTAAAGGAATTGTCTTTTTTCATTCTTTTCCCTTTTTTTTTAATGGACAAATACTTAAATTCTTTCTTTGAAAAATCGCCAATTCCATGAGGTCCCCTCCCAAAGATGAAAACCACCCTTAAAATCAAGAAATAATTTTCCATTTGTGCCTATAAAAGACCAAACAATTCAATGTTGGAACAATATTTTAAGTATTAAAAAAAGAACTATATGTTTCAAACACTTTTCATTTCTATGAAACTGTTTCTCATCTTGACATTTTTATGATTAGCCCAAACGCGCTTGTTAAAAGTGTAAAATAATTTTGCCTACTTAAGGTAGGAATAATTGTTATATACCCATAATAGTTAAAAAAAACTTGCATGTAGTTAAGCCGACGATACGACTTAGTCGATAAAATGCTTTGTCGACGAAGTGGTGTCGATGAAACAACCTGACGATAAAAATGATTGCCGCTGAAATGAACAAGACCTGCTTTAAAGAGCTCTAGAATGTGTTTACTCTCAATACCACCAAACTAAACTGTGGCGAGGTCTACAGTGCTCTCCAGTTTTCTAGACTTCAGGTTCTAGGGGTGCAGGCACCAGTGTTTGGGTTCCCAAGCATGCACCCAAACACTGGATGAAACTGAACGTAAAACTGAACGCTACTACCACTTACCACCGAATTCCTGAGACTTGTATTCAATCATGGAATGTGTAGAACTACACCTATTGGCTTATTCTGTAAACTGCTTCTCAATTTATCAATCTTGTACAGATGGCCATAATATAGTTTGTCAATAGAAAGAACTCCCCTCACCTCAAAATCTAAGGTCTGCTGTTATGGAGACAAGAGAGAGCCCATTTCAAAGAGATCTCTCTCTTCTCAACTTGAAATAGTTAAACCTCGAAACCGTAGTCCCTGTCACTGCTCCAGGTGAATAACGAGGGGGTGTTCTTTCCATAGACATACTATACTACAGACAGACCTGGCTGTACCATAGGCAGACTGGCTACCATAGACAGAAATGGCTTTACATAATTACGAGTATTTTCCAGGTTACTTTCTGCATGTCCCGTATTGATCTGTGCTGATTAGATTAATTAATGTAACTGGTGGATTATTTCTCTCTCTCTTTATATTATATATATATATATATCACGTCNAAACCAGCCATATTGATTTTTGTAGGAAGAATTCAAACTGTAGCAGGTATGATTTTTGCCTCTTCGAAAAACTTATAAATTAACACGAAGTGTTAATTACTAAAGATTTATTTGAAATAATTAAGAAGTTAAAAAATTAATGAACACAATTCAATTCTCTTTAACTGCTTGAAATTGTAGAAAAAAAATAATTTTTGAGGAATGTATAAAAGAGAATTTGACTAAGATAAACAGAAGCAGTTTTTTTTATTTTTTTTGACCGAAATCCTTCAAGAAGTTAAGTGTTATCTTAAAAGTTTAAAAATCCAAGGAAAGCGAAATTTCGAAGATAAGTAAATATTTTTTTTTTGAAGTTAGGATTTTATTTGCTATTAATTCCATAAAAAAGCATGTTTTAATCTTACTTTTTCCCAGATATTGATTTTTTAATATAGTGAAATAACTTTTTTCCCTTCATAAAAATGTAGAATATTTCTTTTCGTAATTGATTTTCGTTATGTAATTCTTTCTAAATAATTTTAAGCATTGCTTTTTTAATTAATAATAGAAAATCTGCAGGAAATAAAATCAATTTAAAAAAAAGCTTTTGTGCTTAAAACTTGAAAAAGAAGATAAAAGATTGCATTCCAGTTAGGATAGATAAAAAACATTCTTAATACCGTCTATTTTTAAGAATTAATTATGAAATACTGAATAGTTAAAAGGCTTATTTAAATTAAGCTCCTTAACTATTTAAACCGATAATTAGTTCGGTCAACGATGTTATTGCACGAGCTTTGTTAATAAATATAAAAAAAAATATTTTTTAATAAGTCTCAAATGCTTTTAAATAAGTATAACAGTGTTAATATTAATGTGATAATATTAACTAATGTTAAATATTAAGTTTATTTAATGATAAAAACTGCTGTGCTAAAAAACAATTATTTAAAATAAATGAGTTTAACAAAAAGGAAATAATTCTGTTTTATATTTTGTTTATCAGACACAAATGTACCGCTTCTAGACATGGTGTTCTGTATTGACCACCTTGAATCTATAATTTTAGAGTCTTTGTCAAAAATGGTATAAAAAAGCATACACATAGGGGGTTGCAAAAAATAAAATAAAAAATACAATATATTAAAAGTTAAAATAAAAAATAAATTCTATTAAAAGGTATACACCCTTGGAATTATCAAACTCTATCAAATTCACCATTAGGAAAATGCGTGTACAAAATATCAAAACCTGATTGATTGAAATGTGAAGATGTTTTCAATAATTGTCCTTTAACTCTTCTCTGTTTTCTCCAGTTATCAAATAGGTTTCGATTCTATGTACGCTCGCTTTCCTCAATAGGGATTTCTCGGATTTTGAAAGCCTTTCGTGCTTTCTTCGCCTACTTCTAAAAGTGTGACTTACAATACGTAGGCTTTCTTGTCTCATTTTTGAAAAGAAACCCGACATTAACCCCTATTTGTATTTCAACTATATTACATACTTAAGCATAATATAGTTATTTTGGGGTATAGTTGTTTTTTAAGCATATTATAATTTAGCAGGTAAATAGTTATTTTGGATGGACATTTCAAACATTATATTTTAACTTTCTTCCAAATAACATAATTTTATAGTTTGATAATAATTCGAACAGTTAAATTAATTTTATTTTTTTGCATTCTACCCAAATTCGTTTTCTAAGGACCATGTTTATTTTTTCCATGTAATTAAATGTTTATTTTTGGCTTCATATGAATACTTAAGATTAAGCTTTTAACAAGATATTATGTTGTCTCTTTTAACCCGATGATGCAGAATTTTCATTAAACATACTTTTAATAGTTATTTTTATTATTTTGTGTTAATTTGCGTTAAAATAAAATAAAAATATTATATATGGTTATGAAATACAGCATGAGACACCGGTGTCCTTTTCTGAGTTAAAGGTAAAATTTTCCAAACTCGTCTCACTTCCAAATAATGATTTTTAAATTTTGCACTTATTTGCAGTTATTTAGATCTAAGGAAACAGCTATTTATCATTGACATTTCTTTAATTTACGAAATAAGTAATTGATAAATCTTTAAAATTTATTGGAAAAAAAATTCAAGCTACATTTTTTGGATTTTAAATTTAAATAAAAATTATAATTCCGATAACCTAACAACTTTTAATAATAACTATTAAACTGTTTTTCGATAATTAAAAAATGTCAAAATATATTTTTATTTGTAATTGAAGCGCCGGAATAAAAATATACATAAAAAAGACACCGGTGTCTTATCTGCGTCAAAGTGTTAAAAAACTTAGTAATTTAGAAATTTTAATTTGCGTAATTTTGAATTTTTAAATTCTGCACTTATTTGTATTTATTTTGATATAAAGGAAACTGCCATTGACATTTCTTTAATTTACGAAATAAGTAAATTGATTAATCTTTTAAAATGAATGAAAAAAAATTTCAAACTACTTTTTCTGGATTTTAAATTTTAATACAAATTATAATTCCGATAACCTAAAAATTTTTTATCATAACTATTAACCTGTTTCTCTATAATTAAAAAATACCAAAATATATTTTTATTTGTAATTGAAGCGCCAGAAAAAAATATACATAAAAAGGACACCGGTGTCCCATCTACGTCGAAGATTTGAAAAACTTAGTAATTCAGAAATTTTAATTTGCTTAATTTTGAATTCTTAAATTTTGCATTTATTTAGATCTAAAGAAAACTACTATTGACATTTCTTTAATTTACGAAATAAGTAAATTAATAAATCTTTTAAAATGAATGAAAAAAAATTTCAAACTACTTTTTCCGGATTTTAAATTTAAATAAAAATTATAATTCCGATAACCTAACAAATTTTTATCATAACTATTAACCTGTTTCTCTATAATTAAAAAATATCAAAATATATTTTTATTTGTAATTGAAACGCCAGAAAAAAATATACATAAAAAGGACACAGGTGTCCCATCTGCGTCGAAGATTTGAAAAACTTAGTAATTCAGAAATTTTAATTTGCTTAATTTTGAATTCTTAAATTTTGCATTTATTTAGATCTAAAGAAAACTACTTGTTGACATTTCTTTAATTTACAAAATAAGTAATTGATAAATCTTTTAAAATAAAGGAAAAAAATTTCAAACTACTTTTTCCGGATTTTAAATTTAAATAAAAATTATAATTCCGATAATCTAACAACTTTTTATAATAGCTATTAAACTGTTTTTCGATAATTAAAAAATACCAAAATATATATTTTTATTTGTAATTGAAGCGTCGGAATAAAAATATGTATAAAAAGGACACCGGTGTCCCATCTGCGTCAAAGATTTAAAAACTTAGTAATTTAGAAAATTTTGAATCTTTAAATTTTGCACTTATTTGCATTTATTTAGATCTAAAGAAAACTACCTTTGACATTTCTTTAATTTACGAAATCAATAATTGATAAATCTTTTAAAATGAATGAAAAAAAATTTCAAACTACTTTTTCTGGATTTTGAGTTTTAATACAAATTATAATTCCGATAACCTAACAAATTTTTATCATAACTATTAACCTGTTTTTCTATAATTAAAAAATACCAAAATATATCTTTTTGTAATTGAAGCGCCGAAATAAAAATATACATAAAAAGAACACCGGTGTCCCATCTACGTCAAAGTGTTTAAAAACTTAGTAATTTGAAATTTTTAATTTCTTTAACTTTGAATACTGCGTTCTAAGGATATTGGTATAAAATGATTATATTTTGTGGTATTTTATGAGATATAATCAAAGTCAGCTTTAGTTAAAAATTGCTTTGCTCGCAAATGCTGTTCTTTTTCATAATATATAGAGCTTCTGGATATGTCATAATCTGTAAAGTGCTATAAAACCAAATCTTCTAAAAGTTTCCATTATGATAAGAGGCGGCTTATACTTAGGCAATAAAATATTTCCTTGTTATATTTTTACGATGCATGGTTATAAAAGCGACTCTATATTTACCTGTGGATAAAATGGTTTTCTTCTAAGTATTGGCAACCAGTGGCAACATCTAAAGCCATCTTCAGTAAATCACTGATGGTCAGTGTTGACTGTTTATTCTGCAAAGAGCGGAAGGTTAAAAGTATTACTCCTTACAAGTCCTAAATTATTGCTTTTGGAGATTCGATTAACCCTTTAATCAGCACTTAAAGTACATCAGCACTTTAAGTCTAAAGAAAGTTAAATTAGATAAAATGGATATTCTGTGAAGAAACTAAAGATAGTTTTTTTAAAATAATTTCTTATATTTAATAACCGTCGTTGAACAGCCGACTCAATTTTATGCGTTTACGGCTATTAATGCTCAACTTCATAGCTTTGTAATTTTGAACCCAATCCCGAAAACAAGGGAACTCCTGGATCAAGTATTGGGAGAAATATGCCTTCGTGGATGACTTTTTGACGGAGCTAACACGCATTTGCGTTACATGGAGAGGAAAACCACGAGAACCTCCCAGGATTAGCCTGACGGCAAGGGGACTTTAACCCATGATCCGTCTACCCCTGAGGGTACTTTACGTTAGCACTGTGGTCGGTGCAAGCCCGGATGCGGAACTCGTATCCAATGGGATTCGAATCCGGTTCACCGCATTGGAAGGCGAATGCTCTATCCTCTGAGCCATTGCGGCTCAACTAAAGATGGTTTATCAAAGAAAATGCTTTTCAATGTGAGTTTGTCGATCACACAGTAAATAAGATCACACATATATATTTTTACGTATGTACATTGAGCCAAAAGAAACGGACCACGCAGAATAACTTTTGACCCAATGATCGGATTTTCACGTTCTAGGACTTACTCTTAATGATTGGAGGGAGTGGCCTAAAATATGCTAATTAATAAATGTAAACGATTTTTTGAGTTTCGAAATTAGACACAAAAACGCCCTTTCTCTGAATACCCTTTTTATGACGGATACGGATTTCTGACCTTCAGAATATAGGGGTAGCAGCAACCTAAAAAATATGGTTCCCATAGTTGGTAAAGAGTGCGATCCAAAGTTTGATCCCCTTAATGATAATTTTTGCATATTTCACCCTATCTCGAGAACTTGTGAAGCGAATTAAAAGAAACTTTTGCACACAACTATAAAATTCATTTGCTTAAAGACAATTGAACTAAACATAAGATTAAAATGAATAAAAAATAAAGAGTAATATTGCTTACAACCCTAACGATATTACTTTTCCTTCCTGAAACAGTATATAGGATGCTTGTTAATAGCTCCATATTTTAAAGTAAGAAAAGTTTTTTGCCATAGAGGAGAGTTGCCTAAATCGTAACTCTAGAAAATCGTACCATCTTTGATTTCTAAACAAGTATTGCATAGCGAATGCTTTAGTGGATAAACTAGGAAGTATTTTTTCTCACATGGAGATCCGTGCAGAAGAAACAAGTCGCTGTGTACTTGCATCAAGTTTTAATTTAAGTGAGCCAGTTTTACAAGTTTTTAATGTAATTTTTGAACATCCTATGCAATATAGCAGAACTAAAGTAATGTCATTATATAAAGCATCATGCAATTCATAAGCTACTTATTTTATCATGTTCTACTTGCTTGCTAACTATTGTTTGAGACTTGGAATAAAGTTTTACATAGTTTCATTGTTTACATTGTTTAAAGCTTTACATAGTTGCCTAAATCGTGCTGCGTCTGCAGTCCTAAATCGTACCTATACGAGTTGACAGCAATGTATCAATTTCATCTTGTTATTTTACTTTGTTACAGTCATTTGTCATTCATCATTGAAGATGATGAATGAGAAACAAAATGCGACGTAACAAACGACGTAAACAACGACACTGAAAACAACGTCGGTGGAACTTACGATTTTTAAATAAAGTAAATTTTTCAAATGTAATTGCCTTTGAATTGTTGCAGATAAAAGGGTAAACATTAAAAGTGGAACTTTAAATAAGGTAACTTTCCTTTAAATGCATTTTTCTAAATCCCAATCTTTCTAAAAACCAAAAATTAAAAAATACGCTAGATTTTTAATAAATAAATAAACTATTGCATTTAAATTAAAATCAAGCATTTAAGACTACTCAAATATTTAACAACTATAGTTCTATCTGAAATTTAGGTAAATGTAGTGGACTAAACTCTATTAGGTTCAGAATGTATGAATAGAAAGCAACAATACAGATGGCTCTAATGACATATCTTATTTTTCTTAAAACAGTAAGGAAGTTCAGAAAATCGATTTTGAGCTTGAAAGGAAATAATATCGATTAAAACTATCGAATTTGAAAGCGGGCTTCCAAGAACCAAACTTAGAAATCAATTTTAAGTTCGAAGAATAATCCATCATTAAACAGAAGTTTAAGAGAGGATAGTAGTTATAGAAACAGTTACGTTGTTAATCATTCTTGTTGCTAATCGTTCATGTTCTATTATTAATACTTCCAGGAAATTTCCTGGCAATAATTTTGTTTCCATTTTTGAAAAGAAATACGATAGTTCAGATGTATTTGATTTTCAGCAAATAGATCTCCTAATGGTTGTGGGAAAAAGCAGACAAACATCACTTCGAAGAGAAATGGAAGCAATGCTATTGTATCGACGATGAAGACAATACTCCAAATAGTCGGTCAAGAGGTTTAGTTTTCTCAACAAAAGCGTCTACATTTTTTCAAGGAGCTAATTAACTTTATAAATCGCTCACAATAAAATTTTGCAATTGAAAGTGTTGCGAGAATTTATTTCTTCCAACAAGATTACACTTAGCTTATACTGAGAATTATAGTTCGTTGACCAGGAGTTGGAACTTGACTCCACCGCCTCAGACGCAGAAGAGCACTGTTTGTGTTTGGTGTCCTCCTCGGACGCCGAACACAAACAGTGACTTCTTTTTCAGTCACTTACTTCACTTTATCATTTGCTGTTATACCTTTCGTTTCTCTAGCTAATTAAATATGTTTTAAATTTAAAAACTGCTGTTTTCTCAGCAAAATGTCTCAAAAAGGACAAACTATTCACTCAACAGGGAGAAATATCACGGTGCGAAATATCATCAAATTTATGCAATATTTAATGTTAAAAAAAATGCAGATAAAGTTTGCGAAATAAATATTTTTGCCATACGATCACCAAGTAGCAACCTTGTTCAGAATTGCTCTCAACTTTCTCCCAAAAATAGCGAAATAGTATCGTCGCATACCATGTGATGAAGGCGGAGCCAAGTGCCAACTCCTGGTGAACGAGCTATACCTGAGATTCTGACAATGTTGGTGGCGAGTTTTATAATCTGAGTTCCAGTTTGGCTGAAAAATAAAGGCAGCTGATGCACAGTTCTGACCTTATAATGCAGTTGGATTCGATCCTAACCTCCACGGTTTTTTTTGGCAAACAACTGTTTGTTTGCGGAAGTGATTTATTAACTAAAACAAGCAACCAACTTACTTACTGAGATCTCTTGTAATCATTTTTGTCTAAAACTTAGCATTGGTGACAAAGATCATGTTATACGGTATCGTTCGTTTATACCAGTGTCTATAATAGTTAGTTAAGTTAATAAAAGATTAAAACTAATTGGATTTGTGGGAGTCAAGGATTTTGTAATTTTGACTTGTCCTTACGCATAAAACAAATAAAATAGTGAAGTTCCGTTGTTTCTATATGCTTCAGAATGAAATGAAGTTCTTTATGTTTATCCACTGAGTTTTAAATTTATCCATAAGCCATTCAACTTATTTGAAAGACTCAAAGCTCACCTATGATTTTTCTCTTCATTAATATGTGAGTTGGTACGCCGAAATTACTAAAAAACCTTAGTATATTTGCGAAAAAAAATTAATTGACAAAAAATACAAATAGTTCTTTTTTATTGATCTTCAATAAAAATCTATTTGTTTTCAATGTATGTGCAATGACAAAACTTAGCTATATTTTACTTAATATCTTATCTGTATGCAAAATATCTTATTGATTTAAAATAGCAATTTGTAGCTTCAGTCATCCAACATTTGTGGTAACTAATAATAGATTTGAAAATTCTTAATTTAAGAAATACAAATCGGGAATTTTAAACATTGAAATCAAAAATTTTGAGACAGTTTAATCCAATTCATGTTTTTAATACTTAACTGAATAATATCTCAAACAAAAGTGCTCCCACAATTCAATGGTTAGAACAGAAGAATTCCACTCAAAATATGCGGTTTGAATCAAGTTCCCACCTTTTAAATAATGATTTCGTTATTTTCTTTCTATATAAACTGTATGCAAATAATTTTATATTTTCGATTGCTGTTGGCCACAAAGTGAATGGGTGGAATTTCGAGTTTTGAAAAAAGTTTAAGAAATTTTTTTGTCAAAAAACTTTTTTAAATGAAAATAAAATGTTAACTGAACGAACTTCTAAAAACTCAGCGGTACAAATATAAATAGAAAAAAAAACGATTTTTCTGAATATTTAGGAAAAAAATTACATCGAAGCTAGCCATTTGCACGCTCGTCAGATCATCCGACAAATTTTAAAACTAAAGATATTCAAGTAACTCTCTTAATGGAACATTTTAATTAACACAAGCTTTTAACTATCTAATGAAGGAAACTCTATTAAAAGCTTAATCAGAAAGTTGTACAACACGGCATTTTGCGGTCTGTCGTAAAACAGGAGACCTGTTACTCTTGGACATGGACTATAAAATGGAGTCATTAAAAGAGAGAGGACTTACTGGCCTTGGACGACACTCCCTGAGGAATGATTTGAGGTCTCCACCAGGAAGAAGTTCCAAGACGATATAGCGCGGCATTTTGTCGAAACAGACACCGATAAAGCTGACAATGTTAGGATGACTAAACTTGCTGACATGAAAGAGATTAAGGCAGATTAGTGACTTTGAAACGTTAATCAACATTCTAAATCAGTATATTCTTAGATTGGAAACATAATTTCTAAGACATGTGATTGTTATAATTAGTGAAGTTTCGAAAAGTTTCCAACGGCTGTTCTTCGAAAGCTTTATTGTTATATGGAATTACATTTTTTTACTAAGGAATATATATAATTTAATAACGTCTGTAGGCTTGTAACAATTATTCATGACAGTTAGGTTAATATCACTGTTCTGTTTTAACGTCTGTGAGTTTGTTAGAATTATTTATGACTATTAGGTTAAGTTTTATCCCACTTTTGACAGTGCTCTCTATTGCTGATGTATGAATATAGTTCGGAATGTCCCTATGACGTACAGCCGCAATTTTAAGAAAATGATTAATGATTGTTATTTATTTTTTTCAATCCTTTGAAGCAAAATTAAGTAGCCATGCTAGTTTAAACTATAATTTTGTTGGAGAAACACGATATGCTGTGCAATTATGAAAGAAAGGGAAAAAATACCATCCAACTTAAACAAAACTTGTCAAACTCTATTGTGAGTTATATATATTTTTAAAGCTTATCAACCTAAGTAAACAGTAGCAATGTTACAAGTACAATTCTTTTCTGTTGTGGCTGAGATCAGACATATAACTGAAACAGTAAAAACAACTTTGATGGTCGAGAGCAGACATTCGATTTAAGCAATAAAAGAACTTTTTGGATGAGATCAGACATACGACTGGATCAGTAAAAAAGTTTTGGTGATACAGAGCAGACATACGACTGGAACAGCAAGAAAACTTTTGCAGATGAAAAACGACAACTGGATCAGTTAAAAAAAAGATTTGGTGACCGCGAGCAGACATGCGACTGGAAGAGTAGAAAAAGACTTTGTGGCTGAAAAGAGAAAAAAAGCTTTCGAAGCCGAGGTCAGATATTTGACTTGAGCAGTAAAAAAGCTTTTTGGCTGAGATCAGATATGTGACTGAATCAGTGAAATAATCTTTGGTGGCTAGGATCAGACATTAGACTAGAACAGTAAGGAAAATTTGTGGCAGAGAAAAGACACCACGATCAGTAAAAAAAAAGATTTGGTGACCGTGAGCACACATACGACTGGAACAGTAAAGACGTTCTTGTGGTTGAGATCAGACATACGACTGGAGCAGTAAAAAATCTTTGGGGGTTGAGAGCAGATGTACGACTGGAACAGTAAAAGCGATTTCGCTGAGATCAGACATATGACTGGATCAGTGAAATAATCTTTGGTGGCTGAGATCAGACAAACGAATAGAACAGTAAAAAATTGCGACTGAGAAAAGACACCAGTGTCAGTAAAAAAGAAAAAAAAAGATTTGGTGACCGTTAGCACACATACGACTGGAACAGTAAACACGTTTTTGTGGCTGAGAGCAATTATCCAACCACAAAAGATTAATATTTGAAAAGTTACTCTGACGTTGAATTAATTGCTGATCAAAAAAAAGGAGAAAATTGAATTGCAATTTCTTAAAAATATTTTATACTATTTAAGCTGCTTGCTCCGGACAACTCTTTTCTAGCAGACAGAACACTCTTATGATAGAAGAAAAATATTTCCCATTTTTAAAAAGTTAGAATATCAAAATGATAATTTTAACAAACTGAGGACTAAAATTTAGTTAAGGACACACTGGCTGTAAAATTTATTCTTAACGAAATTTTAACGAATTGCAATTTAGTAAGAGAAAATAGTCTTAAAACCATTTGGTTAAAATTTTATTTCCAATCTAATGCTGAAAAAAAAACATTTTTAACTTACCTCATGATCAAAGCTTCCATTAGGAAATCGAATACCGATTGGTTTGAAGATAGTTCTGGGAGAGTCTATTGGAATAAAATACTATTCAATTAGAACAAAATAGGTTTAATACTGTCTGCAGTACAAACATTCACAATGTCTTAATAATTTTCATTTGCTGTTTGAAACAATATTTATATAAAAACAAATTTATAATACTAATACTAGTGATGCAGTAAGACTAAATATTTAATGAGCACCGTTCTAAAATTTGATGCATTTTTTGACTAGTTCCAAAATAAACAAAGAAACCAATTGATAGTGATAAACTACTTATAATTTCAGTTTTAAATACCTTGTATATCATTTAGCATAATATTTTGATATAATTTATTAGTTATAGCATATTAATTCGGTAAAACTTACAGTGGAGACTAATAAGAAATAAGAATTGCTTTGTATTTGATGGGTATGTAACCTGATTAGAGCGAGAGTAAAATGCATAGTTATATGTACAATTGAAAATGAAATGATTAACTTTTTAATTTGATAAACTAATTAATTAAATATATAATAAAAATTGTTATTATTATACACATTTTTAAATAATTTATTAAAATATTACAAATAATATTAATGTTAAGCAAATATATTAATCATGTAACTATTTAACCTGATATTAAAAACCAAGAATAATTTATTGTACGTCGTATTACATTAAACAAATTGTTATACGTAATTAGTTTAAAGATCTTATTTTTCCATACATGAACTGCTCAGTTAATTTAGGAAAAATATGTTTAAAGCAGAAAGATAAATTCAAATAAGTTTTTTTAAAAATAATATTATTTATCAGCAGTAATTCACATCAACATTAAATTGTCTCGAAAAATATATTCGCAAACGATAATAAAATTTAAATTATAGATAGGCATTATTACAAGTAATTCGATACAAGGTTTTATTTTCTTAATATATTTCCCAGAGCAAATATTACATATCTCGTTAATTTAATATGAAATAATTTAAAGCAAAATGACAGTTTCAATATAGTTTTTTTTATTTTTTTCAAAAAATGAGGAATATTTCTTTGCAGTACTTCACTACAACTTTAATTCTTTTCGAGCTATACATTCGCAAACGATAATAAATCTAAAGTAATCGATGGAATGGTGGAACAGAGACGCCCTCTGGTTTACTAGGTGTAAGCTGTACTAAATTAAATTAGTATCTTTTCTTGAATAAACAATCTTTTCGGCGAAGTCTGTGCCATGTTAATGTAGTAAATAGATTAAAGTGATTTAGTAAGAACCTAAGATTTGCTTTATCACAAACCTTGTTTAAATGTAAATTATTCTTCGGTTTTAATTAAATCAAAACGTCTCATTCAATACATTTTCTAAGTAGGAACATGTATTTAACAAACTTTGAATAAATAATACACGTTAAAGTAATGCATTAATAAAAGCGTCGAGCATGTTTAATATTTTGTTGGATTATTTATTGAAATACACTAGTTAAATTAGATTGAAATTTTTACGAATTTACATAGCTGCTAGAAGACTTAGATATAGTTTAATATTAAAACTCTTGTTAAATTATACATTTAAAATTTCAAAGATGGTTTTGAATGCATCTTGATCAATGATGATTTACTAAAAGTTTTTCCGATATGCACGCTGTTTACTTTTCATTTTAAAGTTTGAATTTAATATCACAAATGTTTCCGCGGGGTCTATGTGTTACATTGCTATTTTCTTAACTAAGTTGAAAAGTATCGCGTGTGTCGCTAAGCATGTAAAAGTTAAGATGTTTTAAGTTAAACTAAACTGCAACGTACCTAGAAATTAATGTGTGGCGTAGTATTGACGGCGTATTTCTAGTGGTCAGCATTTAATAAATTTTGTTTTGTTTCATCGTATTTACTGATATATTTTCAGTATGCATAAAGAACTTATAAAAATAAGATTAAAAGCTTTCCTAAATAGTTTTTTTAAATATTCCTACACTTACTCATACGCAATTAACAAAATTGATAATTAGTTAATTGAAACTTACCTTAACAGCGACTGGCATTTCTATATTGTCGACAGGATTTCGAAGTGTACCTTGATACACTTCGCCAAATGCACCATTTCCTAGAGCACTAAAATATAAATAGATAATAAAAATCTGCATGTTTGAAATAAAACTCACAATTAATTCATTTGTCTGGCTCTTTTTTTGACATTTTTTGCTTTAGAGGCATTTTGGCTGACGTTTGACCAAAAGAGCTATTTTACTAATTTGGACATTTTGAACACGAATTTTGATGAACACTCCCAAATCTTGGCCTACTGCTCAGAATTCAAAATGGCGGATGTTTCCTCAATATTACACTATTTCAACTTCTATGACCATTTTTTTTAATAAAAGCCAATTATAATTATACTGTTCATTTTGCAGAAGAATATAATAATAATTAGTACAGACTGTTCATAGAGCTGTTTAACCATTTTTGGTTCGGGAAATACCTTGAAAATTATTTCGTGTGATTGTTTTTAGATTTGGATATTATTAATTTATGAAGTTGTTTTTGATGCTGCATAAACGTTATTTTTCTATTTATAGTGCTTTTTGCTGTTATTTGAATTTTGTCCCTTAGTTTGGTGTTTGATCTAAGGAATTAAAGTAAAATGCACAGCTGTTGAATGAAAAAAATTAATAAATTGCACGAGTAGATCGATTACGTTAGCCGATAGGAATACAAATGAATTTATAGTATTCATAATTCACATTTATATTATTCTTAAATTCCTTTATTTATACTTTTATAGTAATTCTAAATTATTACAGTACACCGTTAAAATTTTCATTTTAAAATTATGGTAAAATAACTGGCAGCTGTCTTTCCATCCGATTAACCGTGAAGTTTACGGTGAGGAACATTTTTTTCCTTTATGATTTTGAAACCATTTACAAAAAGTATGGTTATAAGACCATGAATACAAAACTATACGTTTTTTTAACCATTTACAACTAGCATTTTTCAAAAGAGTAAATTTTCTTTTAATTATTTAACTAGACATAGGAGCTCGGCTTTTCGTAAGGTAATGGGCATTGTAGAGGGCCGGGCACTGGAAATTCTTCATGTGTTGAAGGGAATGAAGGAAATATTGTGGTGTCAACACTAGGACTCGAACTCCAGTTCTGCCGGTCATGAGAATGACTGATAAGCCCGCTTGGCTATGATATGTACTCAGTTGCTAAGGACTAAGTAGCTTCATTAGGTGGTTCTAGCTGGTGCGATTCAGAGCCCCTGATTTAGACAAGCCAACTTATCATTTATTTTTGAAGCAAAGAGCTAACATAAGCACGTAACATAACTAATACTAACATAACGTTAACTTACGAACTTGTTTGCTCCAATATTGCTTGATAGGTCAGCTCTGATAGTATAGGAGCCTTAGTGCGATTAAATCCTGGTTGTTTAACCACACTAGGTAAAAGCAGTTAATAAACGGCTTTTCTCAAACTTAACAGTTTGATTACCATTTTATTTATGGCTCTTTGACTGTTTTGATTAAATATGGTAAAAAAACTATTCAATAAATTGTTATTTAATTATTTTTTCAGAGAAATATCTAACAGTGTACTCAGGAATTCTTTTGGTAATTACGCTGGTCGTTTAATCATCTTTTTTGGAGTTTGTACTAAACAAAAAGAACAGAAAGTTATTGCAGTATAACTTAACTTTGCAACATTTGCGAAGCCGCGCAGAACAACATTTTTGGCTAGCACAAAAAACATTATCATTATCAGCAGCTTAGGAAATTGGTTTAAGTGTGGTGAAAATAGGATTATAACTCTTTGCGTTTTCCTTCTATCTAGAGTCGGTAATTGATGATGAGACAGGGTTGAAAGAAATTGAGTATCCTCCGTAACTGAAGTTTGATTGTGACTACCAATGTTCCAAAGATGTTCAGTGTTCTGATAGATTGAAGACGTGTAAGATTTTTTTTTATTTCACCGAACGAGGCACGTCGTTTAAACTTTTGGAAAAAAACGTGCGACGTCGATTGAAACTATTGAGTCAGCTACCTGAAGAAGTGAATATTCCAACTTTAAATATTTGAGTAGAAGCAAAGTCTATAACACGGTGAATTTGTTATACAGTAAGTGCCATACCGTTTTTGAACAAGCATAATACCGTTTTTGAATAAAGTGAACTCGATTTTATAACTGTTCAAAGAAATATCATAGAATATAAAACAGTTTTAATGCAACCATTTTGCTTATTGACACAGTCGATGCAACAACCCCTATGGTCCAAACGAAAATTGGCGTTATTTTGGCAAAAACATGTCAGAAACTGACTAAAACGCATTTTATGTCAATAAAATAAAAACACTATTTAATATTAACATTAAAGGTAAAAAATACATAAATTATTTTTTAAAAAAACGGACTTCTTTTAATATTGCTCTTAAACTTTAGACACACATTCAGTGCTTTATTCTAGATTTTGGAATTTTGCTTCAGGAGAAGAATGTCATGAAATTAGAACATTTTGCTCTTCCACCTTTCGAATTGATGGGTACTTGCACTTCAAGAAGTAGAAATCACGTGTACCCACACATGTGACCTATGACGCCAGCAGATCCTTTATAAGCAAAATGGCCTGTTAAATTTGAACTAAGTTCCTCCACGTAAGTTATAATGTTAATTAACGTGAAGTTAATTAAATACAGGGCGTTATCGCACATCGAATTTATTCAAATACTTTCTCGCCTAAGTTTCTTACTTACTTTGATTTATTATTTTATTGTAACCGCGTTATATTTGTGTATAATTTGTTTGTTTATGTTCTACATAACTTCGTGCCTGTCTTTGTTTTAAGTAAGAAATATATAGGAAATCTTTGTGAAAGATTCTTTGTGCAAGAATATATAATGTATCACTTAGGAGAATTGATACTTGGTGAGTTTGACTTACTCTAAGTAGAGTGAAAAGAATGGTTGCTAACGTAAACAAATGTCACGTTTCAACAGCCAATCTGGATCGAGATACCCACACTACGTCACTTGCAGGTATCCCATTACGCTGCGATTTTTAATTATTGTAAGCAAAGTGCTTTTCGCAATCTTGAATAATTTAGCAATTTGTGTTATCCACTTCCTCTAAAATTTTTAATTTCCGCTCTAAGCATTGCACTGGTTAATTAAGCTGGTTAATTAAGCATTACACTCGTTAGGAGCAACCATTTTCACTGCATAACATACGTTCTGATAACGAGCAAAATTAAAATAAAAAAAAAATGCGAATAATAATACCACGCATTTTAACTCCGAAATGTATTATCTCTTACAAAAAAGAGTGAAAAATGTAGTTAATGACACTATCCACACAAAAATTTCCCAAGTGATGCATTATCTTTTCGAAAGCTTTCAAAACGGTAAAATATTTTATGCCTTTAATTTCACGCACTTTGCATTTAAAAGTTTCTGTAGCTAAAACGAGAAACCTGCCTTGTTAAGTGACTTATAACTAATGGTTTAAGAGGTAAAAATTTTGTAATTTCGTAAAAAAATTTACACTTACTTAAATAGATTTAAGTTTTCTCGTGGCACCTTCTTCAAATCCTGTTCAGTAAAAGTGTTTCCTCCGAATTCGTAGTTAGGGTTGTTCTCGGATACCATGCCTCCGATATTTCTTAAACGATTCAACTGTTCATCAGGACTGTTCAGTGGCTGATTGCTGACATCTCTCGATCGCTGCATTTTCCTATATTTGGTAGCTGAAAACAGAGATACTGTGCATGATGCTCTTTTTCTTCACGATGAGCTAAGCTTGATTTAACTTAAATTCATTTTTTGTTTACTTCAGACCACTATTATCTCCTCATTTAAGCTCTCTTTCTCTCTGATATTCCTGTTAAGGCACAGGGGGGCGATTGTTCTTGTTTTCCAGTGGCGCCATCTATGGCCAAGAATTCGACTTCTGTCACACCATACGTCACACCCGCTTATAGGGCGCACCCATTCATACATTCATCCATAGATCGTAATTTTGACCTAAATTAGATAACGATCAATCTCCAATTCAGTACCCCCAGAGGTATTAATTTGTTATGGGAACATGGAGGACTTTGCGACTGAACAGATTTACGTGCATCAGTCACCATTTACTACACAGATAGTCTTTGGTCGACGGGGTTAGAACCCACGAAATCTCGGACATGGGCCCAGCGCCCTACTATTTGTAAGTTTTAAAAATTTAATAATATTTCCTTTTTTTTTTTTTTGCTTGTGTGCGAACTATTTTTAGAAAAATTCAGAAAAATAAGCATCGTAACTATATCCTTTACATTATTAGGTTATCTAAATCCATTATAACATGCATAAATTGTTCATAGCAGCGTTTAAGTTCTCTCTGACATAGACAACACGTTTTTCATGTAGCTGATAATATTTCGGTGCGTACTATATTGTTATCAAGTTGAAATTATTTAAAAGTGTAAAGCTACTATCTGAAAGCACACTAATATTTAATTTTATATAATATTATTTTATATAAAATTAATATTATAACTAATATTATATTTTAAATACTATAGCTGGTCACTGTATTGCCCAGATTTTTTACATTTATTAAGAATACTTTTTTTTTCTTGAAATCTTACATAATTTTTGATTTTGATACTTGTAAACTAAGCTCAGTGGCGCGACAGCCCATAGAGGGCCAAGGCCTACCGTGCCTATCTCAGTTTCCATGACCTTTGGGCACTGGGATGCAAGAGCACATGTTCCGGTTGGGTGGTCAGCCTAACGTGGAACCCTCAGTGTTTAGTTCCCAAATATGCATGGTACTCATTTCATCGACCCATTGAAGGGATTAAGAGCTAAGTCAACCTTCCCCGGCCCGAGGATTGAACCAAGGACATGTGGCACGATAGCGGGTAGTGCTACCACTCAGCCACCGGGTGTCTTTTGATATTTATAACCTAATTGAATAAACTCTATTCTTTTCAAACAATTGTTATTATCTTTCAACGTGCCAAGTTAATTAGGAAATTTTCAAGTATTTTCAATCGAAAATATATCATTCTGCGCTCGATTAGATAGAGAGAGATCGATTAGAGCAGTCATGTCAAAGATGCGGCCCGCGGGCCACATCCGGCCCCCGGTTCGTATCAATACGGCCCGCGATCGCGATGTGTCACAGAAAGAAGAATCGTGTTTTTTAGAGCTTTTAGACTTCACTCGATTCCTCTACGGAAGTTTTAAAATGTGCACACTACATTTATAAGTAATTTCAAGGGCAGCGCGTGCCTAGACAAGCGAGAGAGATAGACAGTAACGCCATTTCTTAGCAACAGGCGGAATCTTCGACTGGAATATACTTAGCAGCACAACTACGGATGGCGCTCCTGACATGGCTGGCAAACATTCGGGAGTAGTAACTAAATTAAAACAGAAAGCATCAGGGAATTTTGTGGGATTTCCCTGTATAATTCATCAGGAATCATTGGCATCCAAACATTTAAAAATGGACCATGTCATGCAACCTATAATTAAAATAGTAAATTTTATAAGGAGCAGAGGACTAAATCACCGACAGTTCAGGCAGTTTTTACAAGATTTGGACGAAAATTTTTTTGATGTCCCTTATTTCACCGAAGTTCGTTGGCTCAGTCGAGGAGTAGTTTTAGAAAGATTTTTTCCATTACGTGACCCTATTCAAGCTTTCATGTTAGAAAAAGGTAACCCAATTGATTATGACAATGACTGGTGGATTGATTGTGCCTTTTTGGTAGACATGAATTAACACTTGACTGATCTGAATGTAAAATCTGATTGTCACTCAAATGTATTCATGTATTCAAGCCTTTGAAACAAAGTTAAGGCTGTGGGAAAATCAGGTAAAAAATCAAACTTTGGATCATTTCCCTCATTTAAAATCATTTGGCACAGTGAACCAAAAAAAATTGGATCAGTATTCTCAACTTCTGCAAAATCTGATCACGGAATTCAACAATCGTTTTGAAGACTTCCACAAAATGAATGAAACGGAATTCCCAATTTTCAACAATCCATTCAATTTTGAAGCTTCACAGACACCAGTTCATTTGCAAATGGAGTTGATAGATCTTCAATCGGACAGTATTTTGAAAGAAAAATTTGAAGGGATTAACGCTCTTACATTTTATGCACAATATTTCAAAAGTTTGGATAACTACCCAGAATTAAAAAAGCATGCAGAACGCATTCTGTGCATGTTTGGTAGCACCTATTTATGGGAGCAGATTTTTTCCGTCATGAAAATAGAAAGGAACAAACATCGCGCAAGACTTGCGAATGAACATCTCCAATCAATTCTTAAAATAATTATAACAAATACGAAACCGGACATCAATGAGCTTGTCAAAAACAAGAGAAGTCAGGTATCTGGATCCTCGAGCTCAAAATAATAACCATCTTTTATAACTTTGATATGATTTTTAACAATCGTATATTATAAACTATGTAATTAGATAGAGAAAATTTTATAATAATTCAGTATATTTTTTTTATTTGCATCTGGCCCGCCTACATATTCTAAATTTAATATATGGCCCTCTGCAAAATTGAGTTTGACACCTCTGGATTAGAGAATTAATTTAGGTATCTTGTAATAAGCCTAGAGTAATAGTGATGACCTAGTGTAAATATACCCTAATTAAAGTTTTATAGCTATAAGGGAAAGCAAATTTATTCTGATTGAGTAAATCTTTGTTCATTTTCTTATAACCCCAAAACCATATGGGCTGCTTATGCAATATAAGACGATTAGTAATTACTGAAGACTGTTCCAATTACCCTTGTGCAGTGTTTAACCGGAATCCTACACATTCTTAAAACTTTTTCAAATAAAACGGAATATTTCCTGTCGGAATTTGTTTCCGAAATTGTCCAGAAACCGGAATTTGACAACAATAAGCGAAAAATTTCAGTTCGATTTAGGCGTTATTGGATTAATTAAATGAATAGGAATCTAATTTCCTTTTAGAAACAACTACTAGAAGATTAATTAAACTACTTACTTGCAAAGAAAATGCCGATGATGAGAACTGACAGAAATATAACCACTCCTAGTATGATTCCAACCAGCATTTTGGGTGAAACACTCATGCCATTCGGGCCTGAAAACATGAACACATTTTAAAAAAGAAAAGCAAATTTCAAAATTAAATCAAAGTCACAATCATGGGGAAAAAAATTTTACTCGTACACTATTTATTTTTTAATTTTTTTTTTCGTATTGAACTATCAAGAATTAAGCAGTAAACTGCGTTTAAAGCTACCGTTAACCACAAACAAAAGACAGTATAAATGAAAATAGTTCGGACATCCCAGACAGTTTTGTGTGCTATTTCAATGCCATGAGAAACGGAGAGGATTTCTTCAACATTATGTTCCCCTCCGCAGAGGATTAAAATTGTGATGACATGTCTTCGGATCATCCTCCGGCATGTTTCCTAGACCGTCGCCAATAACCCATTGTGCAGCTCTAGTGCGACGTAAATTAACAACAACAACAACAACTTCAACATTATGCAGTAAGTTGGAAGCTCATTAATTATGTGGAAAGGCTTCAGCTGTGGTAAATATAACCTTGTTTGCCCCCTCCACGCCGCATGGAGGCTACTGATTACCAAATAATTCTGGAGACAAATTTACTGCCATTTGCAGAGAGAATTGGTGTCCCAAGTAGAATTCTCCCAGACAACAGTGTCCCTATTTAGGTTCCAAAATCTTTGAACAGATAGGTTTTGGATAATAGGGTGCAAGTCATAAAACCGTCTAGTGTTTTTTCTAATGTCTATTCCTACGAAAATGAGCCAGCAGCTTCAGTCTGTGGTAGAATTAAAAATCTGGGATAATGTTGATGTTTAATGTTATTTTCCTTCAGAGATAGGTAAATTGCACGCAACTTCGTAAATAATATTTCAAATCATACCTAAACATTTTACATTTTATTTTACAACCGTCGTAGAACAATCGATCCAATTTTAAGTTTACGACTACTAATGTTCAACAACGTAGCCTTGTAATTTTGAACCCAATACAGAAGACAAGGGAACTCTTGGAATGGGAGATATTTGCCTTCGCGGAAGACTTTTTAATGGAACTACCCCGCATTTGTGTTACATGGAGAGAAAAACCACAAGAGCCTTCCACGGTTAGCCTAATTGCAAGAGTACTCTAACACATGATCCGTCTACCACTGAGCATATTTTACGCCAGCACTGTGGTCTGTGCGAGTCGGGTGCGGAATTTGTATCGACTAGCCATAGTTGAGATTCGAACCCGGTTCGCCTCATTCTTAAACGCTCTATCCCCTTTGCCGCCAAGGTTATACTTAAACATTTTGGATTAAGTAGCTGTTAGTAGTAGCGGCTTTACTTCTGAAGAGCGCATTTTTCAAATATTTTTAAAAAACTAAAAAAAAATTTCCTCCCAAGTAAGGTTAGAGTGGAGGTGAATTAATTATGGTCAGCATCAATTCAAGGCATACCACAAGACATGCCTGGATATCAAAGCACATCTTTAATAATTGGTAGAAGAGCGTTTTCAAAGAAGAGAAAATTATTTATAATTTTCATTTCGTTGGTTTTCGTCCAAGAAATTTCAATATGTGCTAAATTCAAAGAACATTGGAGATTTTTGAGAAAGCTCCTTTGCCAAGTTTCAAAACCATGTACGGGGACTAGTTTTATTGCTATCAGAAAGATGATGCTCCTTCGCATATTGCGTACACCTTTCTTAGAAATTCTCGTCTGAGAATTGCTGAGAACCTATTACACACGAATTAAAAATCATACGCATTGAAAATCATACACGCATTCTACGAATTAAAAATCAGAAGAAATCAGCGTTAAAATATATGATAATAGAAGGAATTTTTTAATTTAATTAAGATTAGTAATAAGCATTTGAAAGAAGTTTTAGAATTTCTTACTTTTATATTTTTATTTAATTCTACTTGAAAATGCATAAAATAGTTGACTTACTTTACCTGAAATAAAATTCTTAAGAATCACTAATGTCTTATCTTTTAAGTAATTAAACCTATTTCGCCTTACTTAAAGCTCTCAAACGTTAATATAGAATTACTTTGCGGTAAGGACCCTTTCTAAGCTTTTGAATGGGAATTAATTTTACATTAAATTTAATCTAGGTTTTAAAGGTCATTTTACAACAATTTATAATCCTTTAATGATAGACAAAATTAAATTCCCTTTTCCTTTTTTTACTAAGTTTATCAAGATTTATTTGTGTTTATAAATAGAAAAAGCATAAAATTTTTCTGGCATACATATAACGTTTCAATAGAAATTAATAAAACAATAACTCATTATAATTTCATAATTATTGATGAATGAAATCAATTTTGTTATACATCAATATTATAAATAAATTTAATTATAAATCAATATCGTTTCAATATTTGTTTAAACAATGGTATTCTCTTTACGTTAAATAAATTACTCAACAGCGATTTTTTTTCCGTTTGAAAAAAAGTGTTGCCACTCACTTTAAGTTTTGCACTTCCGGTTAGTCTGCTTCCCGCTAATATTTTGATTTACATTTTTTGGGGTTTGAAAATCTGGCAACTTCGATAAAAAAAAATAATTGTGTTTTTATGTTTTGCGTTCCATTTTAAGCGCAGTTAAACCTATTATAAGTCAGGTTTATAAGATTTTCATCAACATTGATGTGCGAATGCGCATTTAAAAAAACTTGTAAATATTTTATTATGTAAAAGAGCTTTCTTTATTTTTTTTGTATTATTGTAAAATAATTTAATAGATTAAAAGAAAACGACTTTGAACAATTGGGTTAGCACAAAAGAGTAACCAAATTCTACAAAATTGTTACACACATTATAATTAATGGAATATGAGATAAATGAAAAATATATGATGTTTTCCTCTGTTAAGAATGTTCTATGTGTAACTCTTTTGCAGTACGTCAAATGTCTAATCGATAATAAAGTTCATTCCACACGTTTTGTAGTTTCGTACCCTCAATAGCTTATAATGCAGCTCAAATGGATTGTTTAAATTCTTGCAGTGTTATATAGGTGGTTCATAAACAGTTTCAAAAGGAAGTGGGTGTCAAGTGATTTATTTCTTATCATAGGGCCACCAAGATCCCCTGACCTTACACCATGCGATTTTTTCAAGAAAGATGAGAGTTGAGATCAAAGCACTCTTTATCACCAGTAATGCCAAAAACTTCACAAAAATTTAAAGTATACATTTTGTGAACAGGCATCAGGAACCGATAAAAGAGCAAAACTACAAAATGTGCGGAGCGAAGTTCATTAGAGATTATGTTTTTGTCGTTTAGCAAAACACATCCAACACATTGAATATTTGTTATTGATAAAAGGATTTATTTTTCTTTTATCTCATTTATAGTTTATCATAATATAATGTGATAGTTGTGAAAATATAACGATACAAGGATCGAACTTTCATTAGTGAAGCAACAAAATTTAATTTCAAATGATCTCAACAAATATCGATTCAAGAACGGTTAAAAAATCAGCTTTCAAAGTAGGCAAATTTCATATTTTCTTTCAAAATCAAACCGATGATGAAATGAATTAACAACATCCCTTTTTACGAAATCAAATGAATCTTTAACTTTGCAACATAGATGTCGTGGAGGCCCAGAACTTAGAGAATCGAACAGGGTTCGATCCTCGACTCCACTAAGACTCACTGAGTACGTGTGATATACGTGCTCGTGAAATCTGTGGTATCGAAAGTCCTATGGTCGATCGCTGAGCTGGACCATGGGTTCAGGGATCAGGAGAAAATTTCTTTCCCCTTCTATGTCAAAATTGTAACCTCACAAGTAAGTGGTGCTGACATCCATCCTTGATGTTTCAGGCTACGACGAACTTTCACCGTTGTGGTGTTCTCCTGTCAAACGAAAGGCGCACCTTCCAAAGGCCAATGGCTGGCGTTCATGGTTTTTCCAAGTGTCATAAGAAACAACAACACTTTGCTTACTTATGTAAACATTAGTAGATTGTTTACATTTAGTACTTTTATAACAGTGTTATTTTATTGTTATCAATATTAAAGTTTTACAGTATGCTTAGAAATAATTTTAATTATTTAATTTATATATATGCTACTGATTACCAAATAATTCT